ACCCTGACCACCAGGGGCAGCTCCTGACTGAGCATCTGCCCCCTGGTGACCAGTGTGTGTCATAGTGACCAGTCATTCTGGTTGCTTGGGCTTTTGTATAGATAGATTGAATCACTTTCATCTGTAATCACTTTCCTTTTGCCTGAAATGTATTCTTTAAAACTGAGGTTCTCAACTAGACTGTACTTTTGAATCACCTGGGGGAGCTTTAAAAAAATCCTAAAACCCCGCCCTAACCGGTTTGGCTCAGTGGATAGAGCGTCAGCCTGCAGACTGAAAGGTCCCAGGTTTAATTCCGGTCAAGGGCATTTACCTGGGTTGCGGGCACATCCCCAGTAGGAGGTGTGCAGGAGGCAGCTGATCAATGTTTCTAACTCTCTATCCCTCTCCCTTCCTCTCTGTAAAAAATCAATAAAATATAAATTTTTTAAAAATCCTAAAACCCCACCACATTTCAGGTCAATTGCTTCAGAAACCCTGGGGGTAGGCCCAGGTGTCAGGAGTTTTTACCAATGTCGCTGTCTGGTGTCCCTAATGAGAAGCCAAGTTTAAGAACCACTGTTAAGGAGAGTCTTCTGGTGACAAAGTTTCTTGGGTTTTGTTTGAAAATATTTATTTAGAACTCATGTCGTTGTTGTTGTTGTTAATTCTCACCTGAGGATATATTTTTCCATTGATTTTTAGAGAGTGTGGAAAGGGGGGCAGAGACAAAGAGAGAGAAACATCAATGTGAGAGAGACACATTAACTGGTTGCATCCTGCACATGCCCCGACCGGGGCAGGGGATCGAACCTGCAACCGAGTTACGTGCCCTTGACCCTTCAGTCTGCGGGCCAACGCTCTAACCACTGAACAAGCCAGCTAGGGCTAGACCTCATTCTTGAGAGACGTTTTCACTGGGTATAGAATTCCAGCTGGCATTCCAGCACCTTGGAGATAGCACTCCGCTGTCTTCTAGCTTCTGTGGTTGCTATTGAGACATCATCACCTGTCAGTCTGACTGCTGTGAGGTTTTTTAACAGTTTTATTGCGATGTAATTTATTTTATTTTTTTTCTGCGATCTAATTTATATACCATAAGATCCACCTATCTAAAGTGTACAATTTAATGGTTTTAAGTGCATTTAAAAGCTGTGCAACCATCACCACAATCCAATTTTAGAACATTTTTATCACCACTTAAAAAATATAAAAAACCCGGTACCCAATTGCAGACACTCCCCATCTGCCACCCTCCAGCCCTCAGCACAAATCTACTTTTGGTCTCTATAGATTTTCCTATTCTGGACATTTTATATTAATTAAATCTTACCATACATGGTCCTTTGTGACTGCCCTTCTTTCACGTAGCATAATGTTTTTTTTTACGTTCATCCATGTTGTATGGCTGTTCTTTTGAAAATAATCTGGTTTTCCTTTCTGATTCTTTTAAGATTTTATCTTTGTTCTTTTTGCATTTTCACTTTGCTGTATCTTTGTGTGAAAACTTATGGAGTCTCTTGAACCTGTGATTGATGTCTGATTTCTATCTCAGTAATGTCCTTTTGGCCACATCTAATCTGCTGTTTAACCCATCTTTTGGATTTTTAATTTTGGTTATTGTGTCTTTTATTTTAGAAGATCTGTTAGGTTTTCAAATCTGTTATGTCACTTAGTATAATCCCTGGTCATAGTATCAAGTTTGTTATTTATTGAAGCCCTGTTAGTAAACATTTTTGTTTTATAACTTGTGCACGATAATATGCTACCTGAACTCTGAGTGTCTGTTTCTGCTTGTTTGCACTCCTGTTGCCTTGTTTCTCCTGCTGACCCTGCTGGTGTGTGACGGTCATGTTCGCTGCAGCCCTGAGGTCACCTGCACAAATCTGTATTCGGGTAAACATATTCTTTTGGTTGTTCTGGTCTTAGCCTTGGCCCTTCAAGGGCAGACATCCTTCCTCCCAGTGGGTAAAGTCCAGTCATTCAAACTTGGGTTCAGTCCCACGGTTCACTATCTATGTGACTCTGGACAAGACATCCCCCCTCTCTGGGCCTCAGTTTTTCCCTCTGTACAATGATGATCATGATGGTCCCTCCCTCATAGGGTTGCTGTGAGGATCTGTATCAGTTATTGGTTGTTGATATGCAACAAATTATCCCCAAACTTAGCAGCTTAAAACAACAGTTTCTATGGATTAAGAATTTGGGAGCAGTTTCTTATGTCATTTGACTAAAGGTCTCTCATGAGGTTGCAGTTAAGATTTTAGCTGGGGCCTCAGTCATCCGAAAGCTTGATTGGGGCTGGAGGATGAACTTTCAAGAAAGCCCACTCATATGCCTGGCTGGTGCTGGTCAGTGCAGGATGCCTGTGTCCCTCACCACATGTACCTCTCCATGGGGTGACTTGAGTGTCCTAGTCACATGGCAGCTGGCTTTCCCCAGAGCAGATGATATAGGCATCAAGGCAGAAGCCACAGTCTATTTTATGGCCTAACATAAAAAGTCATACTTCATCATTTTCACAGTCTCCTATTAGTGACACTGGTCAGCCCAGCTCAGGGTGGGAGGGGACTACACAAGGGCATGGATACCAGGCCTCAAGGACCAAGGACAAGGCTGGCTATCACATGTCAAATGAGATAATGTATGTAAAGCACGTAAAACCATGCCTGGCATGTGGTATGTGCTCACAGTAAACATTAACCATTCCTAATAAGTGTCCTGGCTTTGCCCTAGGCATGTAGGATCTACACAGTCACCACTTTCATTCAATCATTCAGCAGCTGTGTGTCAGGCACTACTCTAGGAGCTGGGGACACAACTGCAAACAAAACATAGTATGAAACTAACACAAACAAACATCTAGAATGTTCTGCCAGGTGGTGCAGAGTGTTATGAACAACCACAAAGGCAGGGAAGGGGAGAGAATGATGAGAGGACGAAGGCTATAGGTCTTTCCCCATAAAGCTGGTCCGACAGTTGTGGTGGCTCAGAATTGGACCTCTGATAAAGCCCTCCCACACCTGTGACCCCATCCTAGCCTCACAGGCAGGTAGAATTTATACCCATTTTACACCTGAGCTGGAGTCAAGCACAGAGAAGGAGCGGAAATGAGCTCTGAGTCCCTAAGGAATCAGGATTTCTCCCACTACAGAGGTTCTCCAACTGGAATGCACAGCCATCACGGAGAGGCTGTTAGGAGGTGCACACACACACACACACCCCATCCCACATCTGACTCACTAGGTCTGGGGAGAGTCCAAGGACCTGCATTTCTTTTTATTTTTAAAAATGTATTTTTATTTATTTCAGAGAGGAAGGGAGAGAGAGATAGAAACATCAATGATGAGAGAGAATCACTGATCAACTGTCTCCTGCTCACCCCGCACTGGGGATGATTGAGCCCCAAACCTGGCCATGTGCCCTGACCGGGAATTGAACCTTGACCTCCTAGTTTGTAATAGGTCGACTCTCAACCATTGAGCCACACCAGCCCAGCAAGTATCTGCATTTTTAAGCAAGCACCCCAGGGGGCACCCCAACCACATCTGAGAAACCCTGTTGTGAGGGCTTTGGAGAAGCAGGGGCAGGAAGGCCTGCTCTGACAAGTGCCAGAGGAGGCTCCAGGCCCAGCCTCAAGGAAGGGAACAGACTGAGGCCCAGAGACACCGCGCAGCTCGACGCCAGGCGCTGAGTTCTCAAGTACGACAGACAGCGCCACCCTCCTTCTTCCTCGGGGCATAGATGTCTCTAATGTGACAGCAGGGACAACAGAGCAAAGAGGCAGAGACTGGGAGCCGTTCCTGCATCAGCCAGCCCTGAAACCACCCTCCTGTTGACGTCTTGCTTTGTGTGAAATACATTTCCTTCTGCTTTAAGCTACTTTGACTCAGGGTTTCAGGTACTTGCAGCCAAAATTGACCCCAGGTGAGACCCATAGCCTCCAGAACAGTGGTTCTCAACCTTGGCTACACATTAGAATCACCCTGGGATTCTTTTTAAAATCCTGATTT